TGCTGGGAAGTTTCAGACAGCACTTAAAACTGACTGGGCAGGAGAGAATAAAACTGAATCACTGCCACAGAACTTAAGCAGCTTGGCTTTCTAAAAGAAATGATAGCTTAGAAGTAAATACTGGCATAGAAATACTTTAAAGCATCACCAAAGCATATCCAGCATGTCAAAACTGAACAGGAAAAATTCCTCTGTCCCGAAACAGCAAAAATAGAAAGTTTTCTTTTTTTTTTTTTTAAAAAGAAAAAGTGGTCTGACTCGTTTTTGTATAGTCAGAGTTGGCAACTACCAAAACCCTAAAAGAGGAACAGACCACATCGTATTACTAAAGGTCCTTTGCCTTTTCCATACTAGCATGGAACAGTGAAGGAGTTTTTATGATCTTGACCGATCTTGAATAAGGCAGCAAAAAGATTATTTCAATTAAGTCTGAACCTTCCAACCAATGCAGTTCTTTACAAGTGTGATCTCTGGGTTTCCCATTCCTATTTGCTTTCTATCTTCCAAATTTCTACTCCCCTCCCTCCCCCCAAAAAAATTTTCAGGAAGTGATACTATCTTTACATAAAATACAACCTAGGGAATGGCAAGGATGTTAGTGTCTTCTAAGAGTGTGTTTGGGATTAACCTTGTTAAGAGAACTCCAGAGATAAAAGCTGCTTATCTAGGCAAGATGCTTTGGCATCACTAGCTAGAAGATACCAAAGTAGCATAAATCAAAGCATGATCCCCATGAAAAAAAAGGAGGAGGGTTTTTTTTGTTTGCTTGTTTTTTCCCCTACTGACATTTCAGAACAGTGCTTCCAAAAAATGCTTCCATCACCAGGTTAAAAGTCAAGTAAACTCCAGTTCTTACCTATGTGTTTTCATGTTTTATGTTCATAAGGTTGTAAGGACTTGCTCTTCTGGATCAGGGCTTTCGTCTCTAAAGAGTTACATCTCTGCAACAATTGCAAAATGTTTCACAAAAAAAAACTAGGGAAAAGACAGGATTCTAGCACCTTCAGAAGGTTTCACACATCAAAACAGTTTTAAAATTATCCTTTGAGCAATGGTACAAATCTTCAGATTTACTTAAAACACCATGGCAAACACAGACACAAAGAGTTTTCTGCTTGTTTGCTCTTTAATGAACTCCCCACACTCTGACCACTGTACACCTGATATTGTTGTCAAAGTCAACTACCCTCGACTCCTTTCTTCAGGCATTCCTAAATTGTGGTTCCCAAGCAGAACTTGCTACACAAGGGACTCAGGTGGAATTCCCACATCCTGGTTATGTACACAGGGGCCTGCTGGGTAACCAAAAGTCAAGGCTTTTGAAGGAAGTGAGCAAGCACTGAGCAAACTACCACGGCTAACACACACACAAGTTACGCGGGGTCCAGCTGCATATCCAGACCTGTCTCATCTCACAGTGGCCTGTCAACACACCTGGAGGGTCACTGTCACTGCCTGCCTCGGCATCATTCCTACGGCTCTTTCTCTTTCCATTAGACTAAGATATGCGATATGTGTCTTGCTGCACTTCAGACGGAGGAAGATTTGATACACAGCTCATGGGATCAGAAAGGCAGGCCAGAACTCCAGAGTTTTTAGGTCTAGGAACTGCAACTCCAGATGCAGGGGGTAAACTATCTATTGTGAGCTGCCTTTGAACAGCTGATCCAGATACACAAACAAAACCAGAGACCTTTCCTGCTTCTATTTTAGGATAAAAATCATTCAGCTACCATTACGGCTCTAGAGTATTTTACCGTCACACTTTCTAGTGAGAGAGAGCAATAACCTGTCCAGGGAAAGATTGTACCTCAAATTCTGAAAGAAAATAATGTATTAGTGAATGAACTGTCAAAAAATCATTTATGTAAAAGCATGTTCTATTTATAAAGGTCAACTTGCTCTTTAGGACAAGTAAAACCACTACTGGAAAAAATATACATATAGAAACGCCTCATCTTTCAAATAGACATTTACAAATACTCTGCTTTGCTTAAACTACTAGAAACATTAAGACATTTGAAATTAAGAGTGCATTCTGCATGCAGTTAGAATAGAAATTACATTATTGGACTTCAGTGTGTCATTTCTTATCATTGTCAACGACACACTCTTAGGCTCTTCTAAAACACCACAGCCTGGCTATTACCTTAGGATCTCAAAAGGAGGACATGGATCTTCATTAACAAGTTATCAGTTACTCTTCATTTTGCCATTAAAAGAAGGACATCCCGATTATCTTCTCAGCAGGAAGGTCTGGTCTTGTCAAACTTGGCGTCCTTTTCCCTGAGTTTCCCTTTAGTGTTTTGCTAGGCATGATGATCGTTGGCTTGGTATATTTACAAGTCCTTGGTCAGCACTCTTCCCATTATAAGGCAGAGTTCAGAAACTCAAGGAGTTCTGCACGGTTCCGGTCTCTCTGTAGAGCAGAAAAGCAGAGGCAGCGGTTTAACAGACCTGTACTCAGTGGACCAAGGCTGCATAACCCTGCTTTCTGTGGGGCTTTCACATCTCAGCATGCTGCACAACAAACGCTACCGCATTCAAACAGCTAGATAGACTAGCTACCAGTGAGGTGCGCGTGTCTGGGGGAAGTGCAAGGCAATGAGTACTCAGGAGTGATGCTATAGGAGACAAGCTGTCACCGTCACTATTTCGTGATACATTTTTTAAGTGGCTCCCTGTGGAGGCTCCACTGGGTTGTCATCATGTAGCTCACAGCCTGCTCAGGAAAGAACTCACAAGCAGAGGAGATGCAATTCTCTGGTGTCTGAGGCAACTTTCACTGTACACGCAGCAAGTCTTGTGCTTTGGGAAGTATTTTTTTTCTATGCATAAGCAGCAGTTTGCAGCATAACAGAAAGGGAACCATGAATTTAGGTTCTTTCTTTACATAAGAGATGGCCCAAACAGTCAAAACGCTTGTTTCCAGTGTTATTAAAATCACAATTTATAAAACAATCATTGAATCTTAAACTACTGTGAAGAATGGGTGTTGTTCAATTCAGCACGTTCATGACCATAGACACCCATCAAAAAGGGACCAACATCAAATATTTGACATCAAATATTGTAACAAGCAGGTTACTGGGATAAGACTAGCAAGCATTCAGCATAATTTAACACAAGCTTCAGTGCCACAGAAAGAAGATAATGTATGTTTGATCAAATTTAACTTGGAATGCTCAGGTCTGCTTTGGTAGCTATAGAATGAACTGTTACGGCTGAATCAGAATCTGCCAAACTGGATACCTCAGCGAAGTAACTCTTTTAACACATACTGACTAGTACCAGAAGCCCTCTGCAGATCACTCTAAGGTGTGGAAACTGCTGAAGAGAGTGAACATATTATTTAAGTGCCGAGACCAAACACCCATAGCAATAGCACAAAATGCTATTCGTGACATCTATTTCTCCAGGTATCTCAGCAAAAACATCTGACTGCTTTGAGAGAATGCATGAGCATGTGGTCCTACTACTACTATCATCTTTTTTTAATTCCTCTCTAAATAATGGCTAGCCTCACATGCATTAGAAAAACACAGTATTGTGTTTTCAATTGCCACAATTGATCACAAGAGACCGAAAGAAGATGAGGACAATTAAAAACAGTGCAAATTACATCAACAGAGAAAGCCACAAATCAGCTAACATTACAGACTGAAATTCTAAGAATGTGCACAAGCATCCTTTGGTTTATCTGCTCATGCCTGAGTATTCCAAGCCCACTCATAACACAAAGCCTGCCAAAAGAATGAATTAGAATTTCTCAGATGGCATTATAGCCACATTAAAAGCTACACTCAATTTACAACTCCTAACTGTAAGATCTACTCTTCTACAAAAGACTACTCTTAGAAAAATATTAAAATATACAGTATTTTCCCTTAGGGATATATAGACTATTTTAACTCTTTCCTCTTTATCCTTCTTAGTCTTCTTTATTCTCATCTTAATTTTCTTTCCGGTTATCATGCTGTAGTTTTCATTCTTCTTTTTGTTTTTAAAGAACTAAGATGAGATTACACATTAGAAAGACATAAGCTTTGCTTTATTTTGTAATGTTACAAATCTTAAATAAAATTACAGACAACAATCTTTTATACTTCCTAACTGTCCATACAATAGAGACAGGTTTCTATTTGCTGATGACAAAACTGGTGGTGTTATAAACATTGTTATGACAGGACAGATTAAGTGTGTAGATGAGAAATATAGCAGGACTTCAGACTCACACAAGCATACCTTAGAAAGCTGGACAGGTCCTGTTTTCTCTCTCTTTTTCTTCTTTTCTTTCTTTTTCTTCATTTTGTTCTCTTTTTTCCTTTTCTACAAGTATAAGACATATACTCTTATGCTTACAGACTCACAAGGGCGAAAAAAGGAAATCCACAAGTAGCTCTCAATGCCCTGGCTAGTCAAGACAGCCACTACCGCTTGCCCTTACCACTGCTGAATAGGTACTATCTGAAGTACACAGGAAGTAATGCAGCAGGGTTAGCAACCTTTGAGATCTTGAGAAACAGAAATGGTCTGATCCCCTATTCTCTCTCTTTTAATGTAACCCTAATATATAAAATCACTGAACAGAAAGTCCTAATAAAATGAAAAGGAAAAATTACTACAGCAAGAACCTACTACTCTCTCACTGACTATAAATCGTTTCTTCTGACAAATTCTATAAAGTTATCAAGATTCCCCACTTCTCTTTTCTTCAGAGACTACTCTAAACTCTAGCTGGACCAGCAATGATTGGCAAAAAGAACCTTTAAATTATTTCTCCTTTAGTATATAGTCAAGTATATGCCAACCTATCAGTTCACCTACTGTAACCCTAAAAGCATGATTCAGATTTACATAGCCACAGACAAAAGCATTACATCTTACATGACATTTAAGGTTATCGAAATATGAAGAACTATTTTCTGTTTGCTAACTACTTATTGCTGTTTGTAAATGTTTACCTTTTTGCTGTGTTTTTCTTTTTTCTTTTTCTTTGATTTAGACTTAGGAGAATCTAAAATTAAAAAAAACCAAAACAAACCAAAATCAAACCCTAGGAGTTTAGCATTCTGAAAAAGGCATTTGGTTTTACAGATAAGGCATATAGAAATGTAAAACATAAGAAGAAAATGCTTTAATTCAGCTATATATATATATATATATATAAACACTGGTTGAAACTAACCCCGAGAAAAGGAACACATTAACTTACTGCCACTTACTGGTCTAACAACGAAACTGAAAATACCTGATTTACTCAGTGACTACTTATACCAATATATTATATTAAGAGACAATACTTATCTCTTCTTTCTGCAGCTGTGCTCAACTGATTGCCAATATCTGTTTTATAGCCAGGGATCCTGACTCTCAAAGGAGGCAACAAAAAGTACCGCTGGGGCTGACAAACCACTGAAAATATTATCGCTGTTCAAGGCACATGAAAAACTTTTCGTACTTACTTAGCTCACCTTCCAGCTTCAAGTTTTTTTGTAAATTTTGTAAAGCAGAAACTCACAAGTTCTATAAGCCAATCATAGATTTTAAAGATTACACTGTGACTGGTATGTGAGGAAGTCAATTTTGAAGCACCAGCTTTGACTATGGGACTGTAAACCTGGAGAGACTGTGAAACAGCTTACTAGTCTTCCAACAGACTGCCTTCAAGCTATCAGCTCTGCAGTTTCTTTACAATGAATTCCAAGCAAAAGATAACATTATAGGAATATACCAGAGCACAGCCAGACTCAAAAGTTAGAAAAGTCTAAGGTAAGGCTGCCCAAGCAATCTTATTTTGGCCTCCTAATGACCAATGCAGCACAAGCATGTCAGAAGAAATGATGAAAATGGTAACTCTATCACCACGTTCAGTCTCTTGGTAACAACGGACTGGACTAAGCGCCCACAGGGGATGGCATACCTGGCCAGAGGGCTTTTACAAATGTTTGCCAATATCAGGAAAGGGGTACATTCAAGAACACTGGGTTTCCTTCCAGACTCTGAAAATCAGTACACTATGGTGAACAGACACTTGCCCAATTTTATCCCTTTGCCCACATCTCTTCCAGACTCGGTTTTATCTCCCACCATCCTAGCCACGGTTCTCATGACCACAAACCCTAGAAGAACTTCTCTAGACTTCTGCACTGAACTGTTGACTTCCTAGGCTAAGCCAGGCCATCTTTTCCTCCTGTTCGCTCTTTCTGAGTTGCCATCCCTCACCATCTGGCCTCCTCACTAGCTCAATCTGTTTCCATACTCAGCCACTCTATCTCCCTAGTTCTAGCACTGATTCGCCTGCATGTCTTCTGTCTGAGGGGAACTCCCTCCCCAGCTCCACCTAACAAGCTCCATTCCTAGCTTCTATATCCCGATGTCTCTTTTTCCACAACAAAGTGTGTCCTTTCTGCATTCAAGTTAGCTTCATTTTTCCATATAACCTATGTTACCAGCAAGCTTGGAGAAGACGGGTGGAGCATACAGCCCAAGAGAGCAGGATACAGTTTCCCCTACTCTCCTCTTGGTTTTCCCAGCCACTGCCCAGTGTCTAACAGCTGCACTCGCTAAATAAGAAAAGAGACACACAGATAAAAAAAATGACGGAAGAAATCTCCATTTTGCTATCCCAAGGAATGTTAACTCCACTGCTGCTATACCCGACACATGAGACTGGGGCAACCTTTGTCATTCAAGGTCTTTAACTGCAGGTTAGGCAAGCTATTCCACTGTTCTGCTGCTAGGATGTATTTTTACTAGATCTAATTCAAATCCCTCCTGTTGCAATTTAAGGTCATTATTCCTTGCTCTGAAAGTCACAGAACGATTTTTCACTCCCTCACCATAGCGGCAACTACCTACACCTATATATCTGTCTTAGCTCACGTCTTGTCTTGTCTAGATGGAGTAAAGAGAGTTGTTTAAACATGCCCTTGCAGGACATTTTTGCTAGATCGCCTGCTCTCCCCTGTGAATGGGAAAACTTAAGGAATTTTTAGCTGTAAAGTTTTAGCAAATCTCTGAGCATGCAGATTGACAACTTGAGCCTAATTCAGAATGATTTTTTTCCTCAGATACATGTTTCTTGACATCTCTCCAAAAGATGAACCAGAGAGCACGCCAAGCATGTTCACAGTCAGCGTCTGACATGACATCTTAATTCTTTTTAGAAGTTTCAGAGTATATCACATGGGATAAAATTCATTCAAGAAGAAAGGAAGACCTCCCCCCGTCAAATGTATGAGGTCATAGGTTTGAATATTTTCAGAATTTATTTATGTCAGATACATTGAATCAAGCCACTGAAGTATGAGAACAAGGAATGTTTCCATACAGGTGTAAATCTGCTTCAAGAGAAGCAGAACTAAGTCTTTGTTACACTGTGGAATACACAGTCACAAATATGAGGTCCTAAGCCAGATGGTGACGTTTCAGCTGACCCTGAAGTTAGACTTTTCATCAGGAGAACTCTAGTTCATACTAGAGTTCTTCCCAGTCAGAGTAAAAAAAGGATAAAATACACTTCAGTGTTTAGCCTGACACATTTTATTGAAATATGGCAATTTGGTCACTTTACCTGCAGTGATACCAAATACTTTGATACAGAATGCAGTCCTGATATAATCAGCAATACATTCCCCTCGATGTCACAAGTTATACCCGTAGAAAAAATCTGCGCTTACTCCCAGATAGTATCTACCCCAAGTCCTCTAAGTAAGCAGCAGCTTAGTATGGAAAGTCTTAGTCCTGCAATGCTTGCATACGTGTCCCCATTGAACTTGGTCATTGGTATTAATAAACTTCACGTGAGCCCTCAAAGTTAAATGCTTGAAGTGTCAAGACCAAAGTCAGACTAAATCAAAAACCCCAACTCTGGTCTAGATAGATGGGTGAAGTAGAAAAAGATCTGTGTTTTGAAAGTATAATGAATACAGAGTTTTAAATATATACAGCACATTGTTACAATTGTTACATTTCTTTGAATGGCATTTTCTATTTTGAAGTTGTTTAAAATTAACTCGAGAACATTGCATACTGTGTGTAAAGAGGTACCTTAACACAGCAATAGGAAAGGGTTATGAGGGAAACACTCTGAACATGCAGCACTGGTATTCTACGCTGTCATTTCATGGTGGTTTAGCCACATTTAAAATAAGCTTTAAATGATTCCCGGAGTGCTATCAAAACTGGTAAACATCACATGTATGCATGGAGGTAGCTTACCTCTGCTACTTGAAGAAGACGACCTTGATGATGAGCGTGATGAGGAAGAAGAAGTGGATGTAGTGCTAGAAGACGATGTGGATGAAATGGACGATGATCTGCTTCTACTGCGTTTTCGTTTCCTTTTTTCTTTTTCTTAGGATAACACAAGGCAACAGTGACAAGCGTGGTAGTAACTATGGTCTACAAAAACGACTCTTCACAGAACTTAAACACAATGAACCCCTATTTTGAGGGGTTGGTTGTGGTTTTTCCCCCTCTTCCAGTGTGCCATGGTCTATTACCATTAGCAAGGGACAATGCTCAACATCAGGGTCAAACGTGGTAACTGACATAAAGGATAACACACATAACACCACAGCGTGGGAACAGATTAGCAATGCCTACCTCGGACTTTCAGCCCTTCTTGTGAAGTTGCACACAGTGTCCTACTTTTTTCATCCTTCCTGTTATCCATATCTAGCGAGAGACAAAAGTACATTCAATAGCATCATTTCCAAAAGACTTTGGGAGAAAAAAAAAAAAGGAGCAGTGCAGAGACAGAGGAAGCACTTCTAAGGGCAGCCCCACGGCCACTCCTATCAAACTGCATCGCACTATGGTGAAGTGCACGTTTGGGCTCTCATCCTCTTGCGTCGGGGGCCAAAACCCCGTTTTCGCATCATCTTCGATGAATGCGCCGTTAGTGCAGATGCATTTATTTTTGCCGCAGCAGCTCCGTTTCAGGTTACCGGTGGATTACAGGATCCCGCCTAGCGGGGCCGAGGAGGAAGCCCTCGGAGCTGCGCACAGCTTGCAGCCGCCGGGCGGGCCCCAAGCCTGAGGGCCAGGGACTCGCGTCCCGACCTGCCCTACACGCGCCGCGCCGGCACCCACCCACCCGCTTGCGACCGTACCCCCGTCGGCAGCCCGCGGCGCGGC